CTACTACTACTACTACTACTACTACTACTACTACTACTACTACTACTCTTCTCGCTTGGGAGGGTGCCTTGGCCGATGGCCGAGGTCCCGAGGTCCGTCCCACCGAGCTCCTGACACCGAGCCAGCGGAGCCACCTGGGAGATCGGAGGATGAAGGTCGTTTCTCCCGCTTGGAGTCCATGAGGCCAACCCAAGGAATGACACATCCTCAACAAGTACCACTTCTCACACCTAAGGTCAAGGATGAACACATTCTTCGCCTTGACCTTGTCAGACGGTGACCGCACCTGCCACAAAAGACCTTGTCAGGCGATTCATCTCTTCTGCTTTCAGGATCTCCTTGCTGTAATACGGTCAATGTCTAGTTCAGAGTAGATGCCACAGACCCCAATGGTCGGTGGTTTATATACATGGAAACCCCTTGGACATCGTGGGGTCAGTGCCATCTACGTCGGGTTCACCCGCCAAAGGTCACCGTCACCACTGCCGTCGCCGTCCCAAGCGACATCAGCCGCCGGAGGTGGGGCGGGACGATGGTCTCTTGCCCTCCCCGACCTTGGGCAGGCGGAGGAAAAATTGGATTCGGCAAGTCCTACTTGGCTGGATGGGTGGTTGATAGGTAGTTGTAGGCTATATATAGGCTATATATAGGTTTTATAGGTAGAAATGGGCTTGGAGGCTTTCTGCAAGCAGCCATATATCAACTGGAGAACCGTGAGAACCGCGTGGAAGAGTGACATATCTTGACCCGTAGACTTTCTGCAATACACTTAGGCGGATGATGTTAGATTATTCACTTTGGTGCATTCCCAAGTCTGTCTTTAATCTCGGGTGGGTCCCCGCTTTAGACTCATAATGACTTACACCCCAACTGCACAATGGCATTCGCCCCACTCTCAGGAAGCTTCGCAGGAAAAGGGTGAACACGATTTAAAAAACAAATGTAATGTTTTTTGCTCAATTCTTCTGAGACCTGAGGTGGTCCAGTTTCTCTTCAAATCTGTTCTATCTAGCTGTTCTCATTCAGAAATGGTTAGCCCTATTCTACGTGTTCTTTGCCAGTGGGGAAACCAATATCCGACGGTCCGACAAGGCTTAAAGGATCTTAGAGGTTTACCCTTGCAATATCATATAAATTCATTCATGTAACATCGTGTACTCTGAGGCAATGCTCTCAGGATCTCTTTTGGATGCTTTCACGTTCCAAAGCCACAACTTAGGCAAAAAACGCCTGGCTTGGCTCCCTTTTTCGCCTCAGGACTCTGCTGGCTAGTTGGCAAGTATGCCTGGCGGCCGCTAGTGCCTCAGTTGGTGGTGGGTGGAATGGGCCTGAATGGGGCTGGAACTGTCAATAAGCATAAACTTGAACACATGCCGCGTGTCATGAAGCCCCTCATGCCACACATCAAACCGACCTGCGATTTGTAAGACGCAAACGCCGGTCTGCCGGAGCCCTGTGCCCACTCCGGTTCGGCCGCCGGGCATTGAAGGGCAGCTTCGTCGAGCCCAACGCCGGCAACGGCATCTGCTCCGAGGGTCCCAGGACGCCGTCACTGGGATCCTGGCGCCGTCCCGAGCGGCAACGGATTCCGAACCAGGTGACCAGTGAGCACCTGAATTGGTGTCACCTGGCCTGCCCCAGCCCAGATCTCCAGGAGCATTAAAGGATAAAAAGGGCAAGGCGATTCGTTTTTGTTGTGGAGTTGTGTTCAATAAATGTGGATTTGAATATCTTAGCGGTGATTATTTCAATCCCCTTTTTGCCATGTGTTCACCACAGTGACATAGTGGAGCTGGTTGGACCCAGCCCTACCAACACTACCAATATACATATAATGCATGATAATACCTATAGCCTGAATGACCTGGATCTGGGACCACCAACCATCCAAAAAAATTGTGCTTTTCCTATCAACACACGGGTCAATTTATGGGTATTTATATATGTTAAACTAATCTTTTAATATGACTCTTGATATATCTTAAAATTAATCATTATAGTTCAAGAACGTCCCTGCCCTGTGACTGGACCTTTTGGGGTCACACATGCAATCTTCTGACCTCCTGCAGTTGCACGCCAAATCCAAAGGCCACTTGCCCTCCCAATTGCCGTTTCCCCATCAAACCCTGCAGTGTAACCTGTCCCACAACCTCTACGACTCTACCACGCGCCTCTTCGAAATCCTCCGTAGTCCCCGTGGAGGCCTGACAACGTTCCCGTGGTGGTCGAGCGTTGTTCGGGGTGTCCATGAACGTGCGACCAGGTGGGTCATGCCATCCATAGGGTAGGATTTGTATGTTATAGCCATAGCACTTGTAGCATTTTGTATAATGTTTATACCTTTGCAAACGATATAGGCAATTATGCGGACCTCTACAGTCCTTCTGGTATCTCAAGCAGCTTTCTTCCAGTGTCCCCCGATTCCTATAGGACATTATAGGACTATTATAACCAACATTTTGCAGGTTGATTCAGGTTGACGGTTGACTAAAGCTCTCCGGGAGCCAACAACGCAGCTGGTTGCTTCTCCTGTCAACACGGAACATGTCTGTGTTACCCCGCAAAAAGAGCTTGAACTCCTCTCGGGGGTCCAGCTGGAACCCGTCGAGATTTTCCGGAGATCGCAGTCAGCCCTAACCGTCGATGCAGAAAGAGTGTCCCACCTCCGTCGCTGCATCGAAAAGCACTTGGTTATCATCCGTGCATTCTCCCTGGCACCGCATCACCCCGGGGCTCAAGTTGTCGCCGGGGCGTTCTTTTTTCCTTCCTGGAATGCAAAAAAAAAACACACATATGAATGGAAACGGTTCGTAGTACATGTTTACCGGCTGGGGATTCAACTGGTGCACCTCAATATTTGTCGATGCATCATTGATTGGCGCATATGTTTCTGCTTGCTGGGGTGTTTGCTTCTTGGAGTATATCAGCTTATGTTGGACCCGCACGTCCATCAAACTGAAGTAAACGTAAAGTAAATACTGTAATATATGTTGTTTTGTAGCTATTGATGGTTAGCAAGCATGATTAGGTACTTCATGATTTGGGTGCACATTAGTGGCGCAACATGTGGCTCCTTGTGAAATACGCTGGTCTGGTTGGCAACTTGAAGCTTGTCTTGTTCCATATATATATATATATGTGCTTGTGTTGGGCAATGGCAGCCATACATGACCAACCATCAAATATCTATTTTTGTGAAAAAACAAAACAAAAGCAAATGAAAATGCAAAAGCAGCGCAATTTGCTTTGTTGTTGCATTTGTGTTGCTTTTGTTTTTCTTTTTTCCTGGCACCACTTCTGCACTTTTATGAGGACTTTTTTACCCGTGAGCAATATTTGCTGTACGCTCCCAGGAAAAAAGCGAAAAAGAACAAGCAAAACAAAAGCGACAAAAAAGCGAACAACATGTGAACATAAAGCGAAAAACAGTGACGCAAAGCTACTTGTTTGCTTTACTTTTTTTGTGTGTTTTTGCTTTATTTATTTTGGCTCCTTGTATCTATGGCTGGCGCGCCCGACTCAAATATATGCAAAAAAATCTACAGTATAATACGATATATATATATATATGTGTGTGTGGTACTGCAAGAACTGCTTAAGTTCTGAACTTCCCGTCATGCGATTAAGTGGTCGTCTGTGCTTGTGCTACAGTTCTACGTGATCGATTCACACCAAAAAGTGGGCGGCACCTACACTCAACTGGTCCGCGAGATCCGCGTACCCCCGAAAGGCCAGGCCGGTTGACTCGAGCAACAAGTGCCAAAAAATGACAAACCGGATTACACCTTGGGCCGACAAGGAAGCTCGGGAAAAAAACATTAAACACACACATGTTCCGAGGATGATGTTCTTTAAAGATCTTTAAACTAAAGTATTGTTTCGGAGGCAAACACCAAGCCGTCCAGTCCAGTCGTTTCTTCAAGGCGTGCCTGGTGCCAAGCATCCCAAAGCACCAAACATATCCAAATCACCAAATCATACAAATTCAAAAACATGCACTTAGGCTCCGTCAAAGCTCCAAACCAGCGTAAATACCGGCCCTTATTTCCCAACCACTCTAAACTCTGCACAAATGCAGGCATTGCTTTGTGTTTGTTTCATCACAGGCTCCCCTCTTGCAAAAGCATTTCAGGGGCCTCCATGCCCTGGGGCCGGCGATGGATTCATGGCACAGCTCAGCAAGCTCGAGTCTCCAGTCTCAAACACTTAGCCCGCCTCCTCAACCCATGGAACCACCCGTCAAGCTCCCTTCCATACATGTTGCCAAGCACCTCCTCAAGACTCTCAACGAGAATCTCGCTCACCTTCAAGACTACAGAAACTGCATGGTGTGGTAACAAATGCATACAACTGAATACCAAAAGCAGCTGGAAGTAGAAAAGCCCAGGCATGGGGGTCGACGTCATCAGACCTCCGCGTCGACGTCGTCGGGTCGCCGGTCCTGCCCCGTAGCAGTCCGACCGGTCCGACGCGTCGGGCCTCCCTGGCCGCGGCGAGATTCAGCGACTCGTCATGGCCTTCAGACGGATGGAGAGGGGAGTTGGAGTGATGCTCACTGCATCCGCCAAAGCTAAGAGTCCATGACCAGGTTAGTATAGATAAACTGCATGCCCCCCCCCAAACTGCAGGATGTTTCAAGAGTGGGTGCTTCTAGGCTTAGGTTCCGAACTAGGGCCTAGGGGTCTGATTAGTGACCAAGAAAGAAGCGTGAATAGCATAGCGTCACCATTCATAATACACTTATGTCTAAATGGATGTTAATATATTACAATTCTTCATGGCTGTTAGTGTGTATATTATAGATATTAATGATTGGCTTATTTGAGAAGTGGGAGGAGCACAGTGCGACCGTCTTAGATCTATTATATATTCATACATGGGGTCAATCCAGCCCGTATACTGAACACACATGGCCAGTCTGTGCAAGTCTGTGCTCTGTCGGCATCACCACCCCATTATGTTCCTAGACTGAGATCTCAAAATCTCAACTCAGTGGATTGAGCATGAGTTAGGGAAGACAACAAAACAAGTGCTGTGCCAGGTGGCTTTCGTGCATCTGACCAGCGATGGACAGGAGAACTAATGGTCAACCCGCAGGACACTGTCTAACAAACTGACATGAACCAAATGAAGTACAAAACATAGTCAACCTAGCATAGGCATGCATAGGCCATTGGTGGTACTGAGCCCACACCCATATCTTTCACATTCCTTCACTACGCCTTCTTAGCCTTTGATTCTGTAGACTCCGCTTTGCGGATCCGGGCCGGCACCCGTCATCTCGTCATCCGCGTATCTGGTGTAGAGGCGGATCGAAATGTCTTGGCTCTTCACGAGCCCTCAAAGTTCTAAAAGTTTGCCCCAAGGCGGAACCGGCAGAATCTCCAACTGGAGGATTCATTGTACCTGCTGCGTGTTTGAATGCATTTGGCCTCAATCTCCAGGTTGAAAAGCAAGTATTGCATATGTCTTGATGCCAGCATAGGCCCCAAACAGTATCCGCAGAATCTGTTTGCATCAGTTCCTTGAACCTCATTCTTGGTGGAAAGGTGTGCGCTTATGCTCCTGTGGCCTCCAGCTTTTTGACACATGTCAACAAAAAGGGCCCACAGCACCCCCCCGGACAAAGCCTGGACAAGGCCCGGACAAAGCAGCGCAGCCAAGCATGGACACACAAACCCGGACAAGGCGGCGAAGCACGCGGCCACGGCTATGGCGACCCCTTTTTCAAGGAACCCGAACAGTAAACTGTCTGGGGAAAAGCTGAAAAAAATGCGGTGTCCTTCAATGGCATTAGCAGCACCTTGGTCCCTAAACCCTCGAAGTATGAACTATCCCCTCGGTGTGTTGGTGATTTCTCGTGCTCAGAACCAAACACCTCTCGACGGACAGAATTGCAGGCCTAGATGTCCAGTTCCGACCAGGCGCCCAAAACCGACCATCGACCCCACGACTGCTAGTTGCACTGGAATGCAAGGCAAAACAAGGAAACAAAAAACGTGTCCTGCAAGATATGCCACCGTCTATCATCCAAATATATCCAAATGCAATGAAAAGCATCCAAATGCCTCTTTGGATTCCAGTGTGTTGGAGAGCAAGCCCCTTCCTTCAGTCACTTGAAGTTGGCTTAGGAGAACGTCGATGAGGAACGGAACACGCAC